TATCAATAACCATGACTTATGAGGGAGAACACCCCCTCCCCCTCCTCACCAAAACAACAATAATAATAAGAAGAAGAGAAGAGGAAGAAGAAGCAGACACAACAAACGTGCACCCAGCTGTTGACCCAGAGCAGGTGTTAATGGTGACCCCCCCCCCTTCCCTCATTTCCCCCATACCCCAAATGCACTATGGGAAGATTGGCTCACCTTGCGATGGACATTATGGACCCCCCTAGGATACCCCCTTACATACGTGCATGACGTTTCAAACCAGGAAGTAGGCCTAAGGACTTCCGGAAGTAATTACCATAATCGATGATTAAAACCGATCAGTACGACAAAGCACACCTTATGGGTACCCCCCCTCCTCCCCCTCATCTCTAAGACAATAATAAGAATAAGAGAAGGAAGAGAAGAATATGAAACAAACAAACAAACATGCACCCAGCTGACCTAGGCCAAACTATCGATGCAAGAGCAGGTGTTGCAGGTGATTCTGACTACCCTACCCGCCCCCCCTCTCCCCTCCCATATGAGTACTCCTTGAGTGCCCCATTACCTATGTACCTGACGTGTCATAACAGGAGGTAGGATATGGAGGGTGCCCCCCCTCCTCTCAAAAATATTAATAATGGCTACTCATTAGACTTATGATAAACTATTTCGGTTTACTATTCGTCTGAAGAGAAACTCGTGAAGAATTCGAAATGTTCCGCTTATTTGGATATTTTATTGTGGTTGATTTAATTTTCATTTTTGTGTACACGTTGTGTTTGTGCTTGTGTTTGTATATATACATACCGTTCTCAGGTGCACAGAACTCGGTCTCTGTTAAGAAGAGACAAGGAACAGTTTATTAGGAGTCTTGCTGAGGAGGTCGAAGGCCATTTCTTAGTAAATGACCTTCGTCCTGCATACCAAGCCCTGAGAAAACTGAACTCCAAGCCCTCTTCACAGGTGACTGCAGTTCGCTTAGTAGGTGGCAAGATCGTCTCAGATCCTGTTGTGGTGTGGGAGCGTTGGGCTGAGTACTTTGAGCAGTTGTATGAGGTTGACCCTCCAACAGTTAACTTGGATGTGGGTAGTGCCGTGATTCCGCTGCCGGACCCACCCATTAGCGAGGACCCACCCTCCCTAGCTGAGGTTAGGGAGGCGATCTCCAAGCTGAAGAGTGGTAAAGCAGCGGGTATTTGCGGCATCCCAGCTGAACTGTTAAAGGCTGGTGGTGAACCTATGGCGCGGGGATTGCATGCTGTCCTGGCTGCCATCTGGAAGTCCGGTACCGTTCCCTCTGACCTGTTGAGGGGTGTGGTCATCCCTCTCTGGAAGGGGAAGGGGGACCGATGGGATTGCAGCAATCACCGCGGCATCACACTGCTCAGTGTACCAGGCAAGGTTCTTGCCCGCATCCTTCTGAGGCGTATTAGAGACCATCTACTAAGGTATCAGAGGCCAGAGCAATCTGGATTCACTCCTGTTAAGTCCACAATAGACCGTATCCTTGCACTTCGAGTCACTGCAGAGCGCCGTCGTGAGTTCGGACGTGGGCTGCTTGCAGCCTACATCGACGTCAAGAAGGCATTCGATACAGTGCATCGGGAGATCCTGAGACTGAGAGGAATTACAACAAGTATTATTGAACTAATAGCAAACCTATATACTGGTACTGAAAGTGCTGTAAAGTGTGGTGGGGGCCTGTCGAGCTTCTTTCCTGTCAGTTCAGGAGTGAGGCAAGGCTGTGTGCTTGCACCAACACTTTTCAACACTTGCATGGACTGGATACTAGGCAGAGCTACTGTTCAAAGTCATTGTGGAGCAACACTGGGTAATATTAAGGTTACAGACCTTGACTTTGCCGATGATGTTGCTATTCTATCTGAGTCTTTGAAAACTCTAGTGGTGGCTCTCGGTGCATTTAGTAATGAAGCGAAGCCCTTGGGTCTAGAGGTCTCCTGGACCAAGACCAAGATCCAGGACTTTGGGGACTTGCAGCGAGGACATTGAAGTCACAGAGAGCTTTACATACCTTGGTAGTGCAGTTCATAACTCTGGGCTGTCAGACCTGGAAGTCAGCAGACGGATTGGCCTGGCAGCAGGGGTCATGAACTCTCTTGACAAGAGTATTTGGAGGTGCCGGTACCTGTGCAGAAGGACCAAGCTACGGGTTTTCAGGACCCTGATAGTGCCAGTTTTGCTCTACGGTAGTGAAACCTGGACATTATCCAGTGCCCTGGAGTCTCGTCTTGATGCCTTTTGTAATAGGTCCTTGCGCCGGATCATAAGGTACTGTTGGCGGGACCATGTGTCTAACCAACGGCTGCACTGTGAGACTGGCACAGGACCTGTTACCTGCACAATCTGGGTTCGCCAACTCAGGCTATATGGCCACCTGGCTTGCTTTCCACAGGCTGATCCTGCTCATAAGGTTGTCTCTGTAAGAGAAACCCTGGGTGGAGGAGGCCTGGGGGACGACCTAGGAGGTCGTGGCTTGGGCAGATCG